CAGGACAATAAGCATGGATAAGGTGGGAAAGGGCATAGGTACGGTGGCTGTAGCCTCCTAATACCAGTAGCTCCCCCTGGAGCACAGCACCTGCAGCACCCACATGGGGGGAAGGCAGGGGTGCAAGGTGAGTCCAGCTATCAGTCCTTGGCTCATAAGCCTCAAAGCTCAGCAAGTCCCCAGTCTCACCCAGTCCACCTGCCACATATAGTCGTCCTCCCAGAGCAGCCATGACATGGCCAGCCCGAGGTATGCCCATTGGGCTCAAAAATGTCCCTGGTTTCTCAAGTTTGGGATCGTAGTGCAGCAATGAGCCCAGGTATTGACCAGTCCCATTACAGCCACCACTCACATACAACCGGCCCTCCAAGATGGCAGCTGCATGGGCAAAGCAGGGTGCCGGAAGTGCAGGTGCTGGCCTAAGGGAGAACAGTATATAAGATCAGGCAACCAGCATCTTCAACTCTGCTTCTATTCCAAGTCTAATTTCTCCCTGATGGCCCGCTGTCTGCTTACCTCCAGATATTGAGTTCAGGGTTATATGTTTCCACAGAGTTGAGAGCAACATCATTGTATCGTCCACCCAGGGCATAAAGTTGTCCATCCAATGCCATCAGGGGGAAAAAACTCCGAGCCTGGCATAAAGGTGCCACCTCCTCCCAGTCCTCTTGACTGGGGTCCCACCTGGGCACAGTGGGACAAGAGATGGAAAGAATGACTCTGGGAGCTTATAGTTAGTTGCATCATCAATTTCTCTCACCTGCCCACCTTGGGGCCTGCCACACCCTGCCCATTCTTAGAGGACCATACCTGAGAGTTGAAGCCAGAGTGTTGGAGTGGCTGTAGAAATCCTGTCCCCCACACACATAGAGTTCACTTCCTGCCAAGCTTGCAGCCCCATGCCGGAAACGACCTGGGGCAGGCAGGGCAGGCAGCCGCCCCCACTCCACAGTTCGTACCAGTCCCATGCCACAGTGGAAGGCCCGGGCCCACCACACTTTTCGAGATGGCTGTCTTCGGGCCATATCAGGTCTGAGCTCGTCCCCACCAATCACCACCAGTGCCCTGTCAGGTTCCCTCCGCCTCTCTTGACCTGGAACCTCAGACTCCACCATCAGCTGGTATAGCAGGTCTGGGGGCAGGGTTGGGGGTAGCCCAGCTGCCCGCACCTTCCTCAGCTCTCTGGTAGACATGCGGCCAAAGCGGACACATCGCAGCAGGGCCCTGGCCTCTGACTCCTGGGTCTCAGGGTTGGCAGCTAGCCAACACCGTGCAGCCACAAAGGCCTCAAACTCTTCTTGGACATGGAGCTCATCACTATCCAGGAGCTCAGCCAGGAAGGCAGCTGGCAAAGAAGGGAAAGCAGGGCACAAAGCCACAGCAGGCAGGTGAGTGAGGAGGTAGTGTCGGGCTTTGCTCCAGAGCCTCTCCAACCCGGGGGCTTCAGCCATGGGGAACAGGGCCAGGCATCGGGCAGGGCTGAGGTCTCGTGCCAAGGCTCTCTGACATAAAGCCAGGCAGGAAGAGCTTTGGTATTGCAGAGCAGCCTGGGCAGCTCTCAGCAGTCCTAGCCATCTTGCTCGAACAATTCCAGAGTAGGCAAAAGAGACAAGGAGTCGCAGGTCCTGGCTAGAGATGGTATGCAGAGACACCTCTGTGCCCTGGGATTCCCTCATCCCACTCAGGAGCATAGCCCCAAAGAACTCACTGCCACAGGCCAGGGCTGCTCGGTGCACTGCAGGAGAGAAGAAGCAGAGGAAGACCCAGAGTGTTACAAAGCACAATCCTGAGTTGACAACCCCAAAGTGGGCCAACCACCCAAGGCCACAGGCCAAATTATGGTGTGCACTGGAATACCACAGAAGGCCTGTTAAAATGCAGCTTTCAGTGCCCAACCCCAGGGATACTGATTTAGCAGATCTGGCCAGATTTATTAGGAAAGCAGATATGCTTTCAAGGGAGAATGCAGGATATCTTGGGGAGACACATCTTTTGGAGTAAAGTAAGAAATACATATTCAAGGGAGGATGCAGGCCATCTCCAGAGGGAGAGACAGCCAAGAAATTGAATTTTAACATTTTAAGCCTGGTACAATGGCACATGCCTATCATCCTAGCCACCCAGAAAGCTGGGACAGGAAAATGACAAGTTTGTGGCCAGCCTCAGCAACTTATCAAGACCCTGTCTCAAAATAAAAAATTAAAAAGTTTTGAGGATATAACTCAGTGATAAAGCACGCCTAGGTTCAATCCCGAGTACAAAAAAAAAAAAAAAAACCCACAAAATATTTTTGAGCACCCTGAATGAGTCTCATATTTAGTGTGGCTTCAAGATGCTTTAGTTTTTTGGTTCCAGGTGAGTTAGAAAACAAATCCTGATGGATCAAGTTATGAAGACAACGTCATAGACAGTATTTTCTATAAGGGGGCACAAAATAAACTGAACAGACCAACGTGCAACTTATATAAGTCTCTCTATATTCACAGAATAAAGTTCTTTTCTTTACAACTGCAAGAGCCAGTGCCATAATCCATTCTGTTAGATTTTCCTGGAAAAGTGGTACAACTCAAGAATGGCTATAACCCAACCCCATCTGATTGCCATCTCCTCTTGCCTAAGATTTAATGCTTAAGATTTCCCATGGGTCCCAACTTTCCTCTGTACTTCCCTCTGCTCATCTTGGTATAGTCCATGAAATCACAAAATTTGGAACATCAGTGTTCAAAATCATCAAATTCATTTACATGTTTTAAGAAAAGGAAACTGACATTAACCTGCAACAAACAATCTTGTGTACCAGTATTTTGGTTATCTGCATGGCCTTCATGACTATGAAACTGTCCTATTAACAAACATTGTCAAATATTTAACCTAAATGTCATTAAGCCTTTAAATCTAAAGTCAAGTTTGTAAGAAATTAAAAAACTAAAGAAACTAACAAAATAAAGCCATAAGGGAAAATCAGGAAATAGAACATTTTATAGGATAACTAATCTTGTTTCTTCGATATACTAAGTCATAAAAATGTGGAGAGAACACTCAGCTAAATTAAATGAAATTTAAGAGACATATGACTAAATACTGTATAGCCCTTTATTGGTTCTTGGGTTGAATAAACTAGCACATTTTAGGATCTGGGAATATATAAATGTGGACTAAGTGATTTTTTAAAAATATTTATTTTTTAGTTGTAGTTGGACACAATACCTTTACTTGTTTTTATGTGGTGCTGAGGATCGAACCCCGGGCCTCAGGCTTGCTAGGCGAGTGTGCTACCACTGAGCCACAACGCCAGCCCCTAGGTGATATTATATTAAAGAATTATTGTTAATTTTATTGGGCATGATAAAGATATTGTAGATATATGAAAAGCAGTTTTGTTTTTTGTGGTGCTAGGGATTGAACTCAGTATGTAGTACATGCTAAGCATATGCTCTACCAGTGAGCCACATCCCAGCCCAAATGTCCTTCTTTTTTTTCATCTAACCATTTATGAGAAACATGTCATAAACTTCCTTTAAACTTTAGAAAAAAATAGAGATGAAATGAGTAATAAGATGTTATTTGTTAAGTCTGCATGAAAAGTATTTGACTTTTCATCTTAATATTCTCTTTACTTTTCTATATGCTTGAGATGCTTCATAATAAAAGGGGGGAAATGGTGCTAGAAGTCCTCTCTGACAAGTCACAGAGGAGCCAAACTCTTAGTGAGGTTTATTAACTCCATGCTGTTTTGGCCCAATATGATGTATGTGCCTCTCTCAAATGGTAACTGATGTTGATATGGCTTTCCATTGTCTTTTTAAGCAGTAGGTAGTGGCCTAGCACTTCCCAAGAACGTCAGTGATAGTTTTCCATTATATATTGTCAGAGAATATCTACATTCTAAGCCACTCAGCTTCCATATCATCAATCAACCTGTAGCTCAGATCCAACTATGAAAGGGCTTACAACCATTTGTTCTTGTCACTGCCTCCTAACACTTTAAGTGAGGGGTTTCTAGACGGTGGTAGGGATATATTTAAATTTCAAGCCCCAGTGAAATTTTTTTTTTTTATGAAATTTTAAAGTCCCCTTCCATCAAGTGCTATCAGAAATGATTAAAAAAGCTTTTGGGATAGTTTTCCTTCTGGGAGTTCCAGAAACACTCTGGTCCCCAGTCATTCCTGTACCGAGCAGTAACTATATGACTTTGGACATGTTTTGGGGTCTGGTTTCTTTGTCAGTAAACTATAAGAGCTGAACTAGATAATTTCTAAACTAATTCCTTGTAACTTTGAACTTTTAAGTGTCACATCCATTTTCCAAGTCGTATGTATCTTGGTATAACTGCAGAGGAAGTAATGCAAGGCCTAGTGGAAGCTGACTGAAGAGTGAGCTTGTATTCGTGTTTTCATCAGCTAAGAACTCTTGAGTTTAATGTTCCTTATCTGCACCTAGGGGCAATGGTTTCTATCTCACTAGTTTTCAGTGAGAATTGAGAGAGATGTCATGTGTAAAAATTCCTGGTACCCTGTACTTCACTAAGTATTAGAAGAATCTGAATAATACTCAATTTATTCAACCCTACTTTACTTAGCTTTCCTAGTGACTAAAGTCAAAGTGCCATGGCCTGCTAGCCTTAAGATTCTGGAAAAAAAAAAACAGTACCAGACCTTGCTCATTAGCTGCAGAACCCTTAAGATCTGCCATGTTGTCAAGCACACTGTTGACACACTGTTTTCCACCCAATACCTCTGCCTTTTCCTGTGTACTACAGAAGATGCCAAGAAGGGCCTCTAGTTAATCTGTTTGAGTCAATCACTTTCTGCTTGTTCTACTGCCACGGATTGTACCCTTAAATCCAGCCAGCTGGCTGAAAATTCCTTGTTAGTGAGCAGGAAAAAACCCAGAGCCTGAAGGGTCATTTTAAATCTATCCGGACGCCTTGGCAAAACAACTGTACTGCGCACGCGCAGTTCTTGGTGACTGGCTGAGCGCCAGACGTCACCCTGGAGAAATTCTGACAGCAGTACCAAAATCGCTGTGGTGGAGTTCAAACCACCTGCTGCTTGCACACCATTTCTGTAGCATCTGCACCTGCAGCCATGTAATGCCCCACAGGCCCTCACCCCGCAACCTGTAGCCGTCTGCCTCCAGCTCCAGGTCACACCCGACGCCCTCTCGGTACAGAAGCTCTATGCTGCGCAGATTCTCTCTCAGCTCCTCTGCCTGGCTGAGCTTCTTTTCTTCTTCCCCGGCGTTTCCTGGTCCCTCGCATCTCCGCTGTGCCGCGGCCTTTACCCGGGGCGCCCCCAAAGCATCGGCCGCAGCCAGCACATCCTCCAATGAGGCGGGGCCCAGCACCCCCTCATAGGCAAAGGTCAGCACGGCCTCCCAGCCCCCCGGGGCCACATCCAGGCTGAAGCCAAGCCGCGGCGCTCCGCCGCTCAGCAGCCTGTCTCGGAAGAGGCTGCTGACTGCGGCCAAGATCACCCGGTGCACACCATACACCCGCCCCCTGACTGTCACCTCCTCGTCTAACAAGAGCCTGTGTTCCCGCAGCCTCTGGGCTTCTGCGAAGAACTGGCTCGGATGCTCCTCACTACACAGTCCCTCCAGCTTGGCTGTGTCTCCATCGTCCTCATCCTCTTCCTCTTCCTCTTCCTCTAGGAACAAAGCGGGGGAAGGAAGGTTCCCTGGGACCAGGGATCTGGGGCCATGCTCTTGCAGAGGAAAGGACAGTAAATCAGGATCCTCATCTGGGGAAGAAGGCCAGGAGTTTCTTTCAGCGGGCAAAGGGTGTCCAAAACCGTCCTTCTGGAGGGGAAGAGAGACGGGCTGCAGGTCCGAGGGATGATGTGCTGTGTCCAAGAGGCTCATGGCCTAGGTCTGCTGGATTGCTGCAGGTGAGCAGACAAGAGAGAAGGTCATCTTAGCTGTATCCAGAGAGACCAGAGGTACCATGTCTTCACCTCATGGAACTGTCAGTCCCTCCCCTGTTCCAATCTCCCACCCCCACCCTAAGGTGACACTCAAGTCTAGAGTAGTGGGCTAACCACTGCCAAGCATGGGGTTTACCCAGTGTAAGGAGCATGCAAGAAATGTAAAGATCCAAGACCAGGGACCCAACCCCTCCCATCTTGCCCCCGTTCTTTTAGTTCCCATTAGGAGACACCAGCCTTCTATTTGCTCTCTCACTTGAGCACTCTCTCTACTTGGGACTGCTGTGTGCACAGGGAACTCACCCTTGTCCCAGTCAGTAGCCCCACCTGGCTAATTATAGCTGGTACAAGAGGGCTAAAGGCTGGGCTCCCAGTGCCCAAACTCTGACACCCAATCTCCTGGGTTCTGTCCTGAGATGACTCCCCTACCCTTCCACCTGTAAGTCACTAGGAGGTGCTGAGTGAGGGGAATTTGGAAGCCAAGGAGCATGTGGGCATCTGGTAAAGTGAGCCAGGCCAGAGGGTTGTGGCCACCCAGTGGGCTGTAGAGTAGGAGGCTGAAGAGTCTGGACTACACTGAGTTGGACAAGAAGAGTGATTTAAGTTAGTCCTGGGCTTTGACTTATGACTCTTCAGTGCATGATAAACTTGGGACCCTGGAGCAAACAATACTGATATGAAACGCAAACAGCCTGGCCTGGTTTGCACAGGGCAAAGGAGAAAGGGTTAGTGAAGTGATGGGGGTCAGTGTTACATGACTAGGTGCCTCACCTTGGCAGAGCAGAGCTTCTTCTGTATTCCAAGGTGAGATCCCAAAACCTAGCACTGTGTTTTTGGAAGACTCTAACCTGGACCACTGGAATGAGGACAAAACAAGGGGAATGTGTGGGGGACCAGTGTCCTGGGCTGGGTATACACAGGTATTCCCAGTGTTTGAGGAGGCATACCAACAGCTACTCCCTTCTTTCTCATCCTGAGATTGAATGCTTGGTTGAAAATCCTAAAACAGGATAATCACCAGTTATGGGTATCATCCTGGGGAAAGAATTTAGGAAGAGGATTGAAATGTATTTCCCTTCCCCTCTCTAGGGAGTTAGGATGGGCCAAAGGCTGCTAGGGGTGGATGCCCTCATCTATAGAAGGGCTGGCCCAATCTTGATAGGCTGACCAAAGAAGCAGACTTATCAAGGGAAAGAAATGATTCAGGTGAGTGGGCTCTTATGGGGGTGGAATGGGAAGGTGATTTTACCAATACTGCATTCCCTCCAACTTCTGGAGTTGTCTCTGTTTCCCCATTTACAGCCCTCATACCCTGGTAACCATTCCTTGGGTAAGTCTAATCCTCAGGCCACACTCCCCAAAATGGGTTGACTTAGAGAGGCAACTCTTGGTAACTAGGCTAGGGAAAGGGAAGATAATGACCAGTTTCTATACCCTTTTTCCCAGACCGTCTGGGACTACCTGTAGCAAAACAATGCGGCCAGCATCTTAAGCCATCATCAGTAAGTGGAGGAAATACATTTCAGAGACATACCTCTAGCTGCCCTCTGGTTGTCATCTGCCTCTAAGGACAGGGACTTTGGATCCAGCTATGAGTGGTATGACAATTCTACAGTCCCAGGATATCTGTGCCACAATCAACAATTCCTGGAGGCTCTGTGTGGCTCCACCATGGTAAGAAAGACCCATGCCCCACAGAGAACTCTCAAAGATAGGAAAAAATCTGCTGTCTGAGCCACCACTCACTTCCATTAAAGCCTGGGACTTCCCTCCTCCCCCAAATCCTTCCTGTCACCATGTTCCTGGTTGCAGAGCTGTCATGGCATTTCAGTCATGTCTGTACAGTCTCAGCCAGAGGACAGCATGACTTCCACCTCTGCAGAGAAGTCCTGTGCCAAGCCACACTCTTGAGAAGATGATCCAGATAATTTCCGGGCCAGGACCGGCAAGACGCCAGAACACTTTGGCTGGGTCATGAGGATCATGTTAAGACTGGAGCTCACGATTTCCAAAGTAGGGTATGTAGGTTGATGAGAGACTTTGTTCCAGAGAACGTAGAGGATACTTCTGAGCAATGGAGAAGAGAGCTGGAGAATTAGTGTGCACTGAAATGACCTCCTCCCTCACTTCTTTGCTCCATGGATGTGCTATGTGCTCATCATCTGTGGTGTCATATTCTATCTGCTTTTGCCTTGGATGACTGCTCAGGCAGACACAAGTATGAGCTCAGAGCTCTGGGAAGTAGGAAGCGATTTAGGGAACAAGGCCTGAATGAATGAATTCTCATTCCTACCCAGGGCTCACATGGCTCATCATCCTGTTCTTGGCCTCAGTCACTAAGATTAGCACCTTGCCTATCACAGGCATCTCAGCCAATGGCAAAGTAAAGGCTGGTGAGTCTGTTGTGACTGTTATCTCTCAGAGCCCCCAGTCCTGTTAGGAATCTCTGAGATCACAGACCAGCTCTTCCTTTCTCTTCTCCTAGGTGGCACATATTTCTTCATCTCATATAGCCTGGGTCGGTCCAGAGCCTGGCATTTCCATGGGGATCATTTTTGCTTCTGCCAACACTGTAGCTGTGGCTAGGACACTTTGGGATTTGGGTAATGCTGATTCTTTCCCTCTTTGTACTTCTGTCTCAAGTCTGTTGTATTGGAAGGTCTTACCTTGCACTGTGACTCCAGCTTGGGCAAATCTTTCAAATCACATAAGGGGGCATCAACTCAGCCAATAAACATTCTATGATGTGTGCATTCTGCCTTTCCAGAAACACTGGGTACAGCAGCTAAACATAGATCCAGAAGATAAGCTACTGGTGGTTGGTGTGATGACTGTGACTATTCTTCTGAGAGTGACACTGGTCTGTATGAGTGGGAATCTAAGGCAGGTGCCAGAGAATTGAGGTTGGTGAGGAGGCTGAGGGAATGACAGTGAGAACTGGATGGGGCTACAAGAGGCTAAGGAGCAATGGGGAAATATGTGGGATTGTATGTGGGGGGCAAAAGCAGCTGCAGCTGAATAGGCCAAGTTAAATAAGGAGAAGGAGCTGGTGAAGCAGATTCCCATGGACAGTGACCTGAAATTGGATGGTTTTGCTGGGAGAGACTCTATATCACAGCTCCTCAAGGGGAAAGAAAAGAGGCCTTATTCTGAGGATCTGTTGGGATGAGTGTTGAACAAGAGTGGGGGTGGGGGGAGGACAGTAGATAAGAAATATTATTTACTATTCCCGGATGTTTACAATTTTAAGATCCACCCCTCTGGCGTGGGGAGGGATAACTTGCAGTTTGAGGAAAAAAAATAAAAGGATGGCCATTTTGCCAGGACTCCTTTCTGGGAAAAGGTTGGTGGGAAAGGGAACTATAGAGTTGAGAGGAGCATTAAGCTAGGATGAGGAAAGTGAGGAGGGGGAGGAGATATCCCTCCCCTTCCATTCACATTTTTGCCTTTCTTTTGTCAGGTCCAAATTATTTTCTTCTTCCTGATTCTCTTCTCATTCCTGGGGACACTCCTCTGCTGAGACCTCAGTCAATAAGCCTCTAGCTTCTTTGGGTAGAAGGGTGAGACAGTAGGAAGGTGGCTGAGAAATTAAAGGGAATGAATGCCTCAGAAAGTCACCTCCCCTTGGATCCCAGAAAAGTCTCAGAAAAGACCCTTGAATTCCAATTATCTTTGTCACTTGCAAATTGATCATCAGACCAGTCAGAGTCATCTAAGTCCTTGGATGAGTTAGGAGGCAAAATTCCCTCCTTTCTAGCCTAACAAGTCACTGACTCACTGGGAAGGGGGTAATGAGGATCCTAGCTGAGTGAAGGGAGGTCAGTGACTCTCCTTGCTGTTCTTTCAAATAGGAAATATTTTCTTAGCAAATGTGGTCCCATAATGGCATGGTCCAGAGGGCAGTTTGAGGGGCACTTTGTCTATATTCTTCCCTTTAGCTCCTGGAGTCCTGGCTGGGGCCAGTCCTCTGGGAACCTCAAGGTAAGAGGCTATCCAGGATAGGGGTGCATTCCTTCTCATCCTTCTCTCCACGAATGGTCCAACTTTTGTTCTTAATACCATGCTATGATTATTCCCAAGGGAGATAGTGTGAACCATACTCTTCAATTTGGGCATTTGGCACCATCAAGAAAGCCTTCTACCTGCCTTCTGTGCAGAATGACCTAGAGCCCTGGTTTCTACCTCCCCAGAGGATTAGGGTATAAGTGATTATGCACTCATCACTCACATTAAAAGTAGTATACAGCTGGGCATGTTGGCACAGTCTGTGATCCCAGAAACTCAGGAGGCTGAAGCAGGAGTATCATAAATTCAAGACCAGTCTTAGCAACTTAGGGAGACCTTTTCTCAAAATTAAAAAAGGGGTGGGGACTGGGAATATAGCTCAGTGGAAGAGCACTCTTGGGCTGTACCCTTACTGGCCCACAAAGAATAGAAAAAAGTGCACAGGCAGTTATCTTGTGGTACCAGCCCTTACCTCTTCTCCCTATGACTCTGTTAGTGAATTGTATGATGTTCTTTGATAATTAAATTTACTCCTGCTACCCCTAGGCATATACTTCTGCTCCCCCTTTTGATACTGGAGGTATCTACCTAACCAGACCTACTGCTTTGGGGTAGAGTTTTCTTCTTATAAAGGAATGTCTAATCTGAATCGCATTTTTCAAGCTTCCATATGATTTGAGATGCTTTAGGAAATAGGACTGACGTGGGTGTGTGGAATAGGAGCTGCCTGGGGCTGGAGTGCCCACATGGCTGGGATTTCAGCAGTTGTAAGACCAAAGGTCCTGCCTCTCCCAGAACAGTATTGCATGCCTATAATTCCAGCAGCTCTGAAGGCTGAGGTAGGGGGATTGCAAGTTTAAAGCCAGCCTCAGCAATTTAGCAAGACCCTAAGCAACTCAGAAACACCTTGTCTCTAAATAAAATATAAAAAATGGCTGGGACTTTGGTTCAGTGGTTAGGTGCCCTGGTTTCAATACCTGGTACCCCTCCACACACACACACAAAAAAAAAAAAAAAAAAAAAAAAAAAAAAAAAAAAACCAGAATGAAGTCTACAGCAATGAGGAAGGTGAGCAAGCAGATAGCCTCATGAAGGCTCTTCCTTCTTGTCATAGCTTTCCCCCCAAAAAAGCCAATGACTGAGTACAGTTTATCCTAGGGAGGGTCCCACATAGGAGAATAAGAGCCCACTACTCTAAAGAGTCAGGAGAGTGGAAGCACAGAGGGAAGAGTTGAAGGAGCCTAGGTGTCTTAATAGGAAGAAAGGATAGAAGGAGTGAGGTGTGCTAAACCTCCTGGAAATGGGAAGGGAAAAGACCGTTGAGAGGCAGATAGAAGACTGGCACCATTTTCATACTTTGCCTTGATTTACAGGTAGACTTTAAATTTTGCTGTTTGAACTTGGACCATCTCCAGAACACCAGCAAGTCACTGTCACCTCCATTTTTTTAAGTCACTATCTAACTCCTTGGTACTGAGAAATTAGCCCACTTTTGCTGTTCTTCCTCCCAAAATTATACTCTTGGGATGGCCCTGTCTACCACATTTTCTCCTTTCTCCCCTAAGCCTCTTACCAAGATACCAACTAAACTGGAAGACAATGGGGGCTGAAATAAAGCAGGAAAGGGCAGAGGACAGAGTGGCACTGAGGATTCCAGCTGACATTAGGAGGCTGAAGGCAGACTCCATGCTCATGGTCTGAGAAAAAAGGCATGAAATCAATGCACTTTGGTACTGGGGATTGTCCACCAGGCGACCAGCACGCTGGTTTCATTAAAGAGGTTCGTGGCATAGAAGTTAACTAGTGAGATCAAAATAAAACACACAGACTCAATTACCTTTTTCTATGACCAGGTCCAAGACGGCTCTCACCTCGAACCACCCTGTGGGGCAGCAAGGCTTACTCAGGGCTAGCAGGAGAGAGAGAGAGAGAGCACGCCAGGGAGTGGCCTTTTATTGGGGAACAAGAAATTCAGGGGAAAATTCCATCCAATGAAGGTCGAGGGGGGCAGCATTCCAAGGTCAGGGTCAGTGATTGGCCTAAGGGTCAGTGGTCAGTCACACCCCCACACAGACAGGCTCTCGCACCTGGAGAGGGTGGGGATAGCTCCGACACAGTTTGGCCAGAACGCCTCACACCCAATCCAGGAGGAGCCCCATCACATGCGAGAATGGCTTCCTACAGGATTGAACCTTCCGGCATGCCTAACCTGTGAGCCACATCCCCAGTCCCTTTTATTTTTTATTTTGAGACAGGTTCTCCCTAAGTTGCTTAGGGTTTCACCAAGTTGCTGAGGCTGGCTTTGAACTTATGATCCTTCTGCCTTATCCTCCTGAGTTGCTGGGATTATAGGAGTGTGCCACATTGTCCCACTAATTATAGATGTGCCCCTCCGTTTCATTCTTATTGGTGAGTGCCCTCTCCTCTCAACTCCCTCCCCACTCTACTCCGGACACTGTTAATTACCTTTTCTCTCATGACTCCCAGAGCCCTAACTCTGGTTTCTAGGGCCTAATGCTTAAGCCTCTTTTCTATCTCTCCAGTCCTCAAAATAAATGAAACTTGTCTCCTAACATGGTAGTGGGTGTTGGTACATGTGTGCAAGGGAATGAGGAATTGAGAACAGGGAAAGGGAAACCAGAAGACAATGTCTTCAGCTCTCTAGATCTTGATCCCACGACACTAATTTGGAGGCTGACCTTTCGTCACTCTCAAAGCCGAGCTGAATGCCATTGCTCCCATCATCTCCAACTGTTTCCTCTACTCCTATGCCCTTATCAACTTCACTTCCCTTACCCAGTTGCCTGGTTAATATGGACGGGTGTTAGGGTCAGGTCCAGGGCTGGCAGAACTGATTAACTTGGACTATCTCCAGATGTTCCTTTAGCACCTAACCACTGAAACAAAGTCCCAGCCATTTTTTATATTTTATTTACAGACAGAGTATTTCTGAGTTGCTTAGGGTCTTGCTAAATTTCTGAGGCTGGCTTTAAACTTGCAATCCTCCTACCTCCGCCTTCAGAGCTGCTGGAATTATAGGAGAGAATCCTTGGGTGCATGAGTGGTACTGCAAGGGCTGATACCCTTCCTTCCACTGGTACAGTCCTTGACTCTCCCTACTGGGCTCTTTACCCTGCCTGCTCATCATGTTCCTCCTTACTTGGTGGGCTACACTCATTGTTGTGCTATTTGTCCTTTTGCCACTGCTCCATATGTTTTACAAGAAACCTGGTGAATGACTGGGCAGGTGGTGAGTGAGGAAGTGAGCTACAGCAGGAGGCTGACCCCCATAAGAAGCCCAGAGCTATCACCATCAAGTCTCTATTTCTGCTTCTACCTGACAAGCAATGCCTTACCTTTAATCCTTATTTACCACTCCTTCCTTTGTGCAGATGTGAACTGGAGCTCTTAAGTCAGGTGGGCACCTATCACATGGCATTGTCCTATTCATGAGCCTGACCAATGTGCAGGACCATCTTAAGAACTTCTGGTAAGGGAATCTCTAGGGTAGCGGTTGAAAACTGATGGTCATGAACTGGATATGCAAATGAGGTTTGTTCAAAGGGCACAGCATTCACAATTTTCAAAATATATTGCCAACATTTAAGATCCAGGCTTGTTAATTCTGGGCCTCCAACCTACATGATGTACTTTGCCGGAACCGATAGCTGCTGTCCCTGGAGACAAGGCATGTACTTTTCAGTTTGCCACAGTTCCTACTTAATTCACATTATTCTTTATTATGTCACAGGTTCCTGTAGACTTTTGAGTTCTTAATCCTTGCTCTAGACATAAAGGAAATCAGCTTTCTAAATTCTGAGCAGGGCAGTAGAAGAAAAGAAAGGAACAGAATTCTAGAGGAACAAAAAGGTGACAGAAGAGATGAGTTCCCTAAGAAAGGATGGTTTCATGACAAGACAGAAGCCACAAGAGTGAGTTCCCAGCTTCCACCATCATGCCATGAGATGGAGAAGCATCTCTAACACCCTTTTATTTTGCCCTAAAATTCTAAAATCCCTCAATGGGTGGGGAAGAGTCAAGCATTATTCTCAACATTATACCTTCCTTCCTTTCTATAGGCCTCAGTGCCTGGTGCTAACCCATCCCCCATGCCCATTGAATGTCCAGCACAGGTGAATTCTGTGAGAGCCTTACCAAGAACATGAGTCCCATGATCTGTGGGAATGTGCCCTCTGTAGAATAGAGAAACAAAAAAGAGGTGGAGAGAATGACAAGGGAGTGAACACAGAGAATGTAAGAACTGTGAGAGGAGAGCAGAAGGGTACTTTAGAGGCAGTGCAGTCCTCACCACATTTCTATTTCCCCTTATTAGGAGCCCCATGCCATTCAAGAGTCTGAGAATCATGTCAACTGGCTGAATGTCTGGAAGATTCATTCTGCCTATACAGTCATATCCACCTGCAAGTTTCATTCTGGGACCCAGAGTCTCTGCAAGTCAGCTGGATTAACTGGATCATTTTTTGTCCTTCCTTTCCCTACCTCTCCCCCTTCTTTCCTCACTGCCCCTCCATTCAGGTCTCAGGTAGACTAAAACCCAACATTCTGGTCTTTGGGTGTAAGCACAATTGGCAGAAGATGCCTGTATCTGCTGTGGAGTACTATGTAGGCATTCTATAGTAAGTGTGGGATAGAGAAGCAGAAGATGGACATAGAAAGGGTCAGAAATGAATGAGAATGAAAAGGCATATAATCATGATGAGCCTTGTTTCCCCCAGCTTACCAGCAGTGCCTACATAGTACAGGAAAAGTACACCTGTTTCAGCTCTTTCTCCTGTATTTGTTTTTATTTCACACACCTCCCTCCTCAAAAGTGATGCTTTTGAGGGTGAGCCTTCTGGGTCCTGCAGTGTGGCAGAGCCTACAGAAACCGGAGCCTGAATCTGCGAGTTTCTGGAAACCTTCAGGGACACTTCAAATCTACAGAGTAGAAACTATCCTGCCTCAGATCCACATGGCTAGATGGGAAGACACACAAACAAAATGAAAAAACAAGGGAATAAAGTGCCCCAAACAACCAAGTTGCTCCCATAAGAGAATCCATCGAAGAAATGTCAGAGAAGGAGTTCAGGATGTATTTAGTAAAACTGTTCTACGACTTAAAGAATTATATAAGAGAGCAGGAGTTATGCAGTAAAATAACAGATTCGCTTCAGGAGATGAAAGATCACTTCTGTAAAGATATATTAGAGGTCCTGAAAAGAAATAAAGAAGAAATCCTTGAAGTGAAGGAATCACTAAACCAACTTAAAAGTTCAATGGAAAGTATCACCAACAGACAAGACCATTTGGAAGATAGAACCTCAGGCAATGAAGACAAAATATATAATCTTGAAAATAAAGTTGACCCCACAGAGAAGATGATAAATTGTGTGACATTCCTTCACCCAGACACCATGCCTGAACAGCAACTGCTAAAGCCAACTGAGTGGAGCTACTGTGACTACTTCTGGGCTGATAAGAAGGATCCCCAAGGCAATGGCACGGTGGCTGGGTTTGAACTGCTGCTCCAAAAGCAACTGAAGGGCAAACAAATGCAGAAAGAAATGTCTGAATTCGACCGAGAGAGGATAAAGATTGAAGAAGAATATGCAAAGAACCTGGCTAAGCTCTCTCAGAACTTCTTGGCTGCACAGGAGGAAGGCTCCTTGGGAAAAGCCTGGGCCCGGGTGAAGAAGAGTCTGGCAGATAAAGCAGAGGTTCATCTCAAGTTCTCCACCAAGCTTCACAGCGAGGTAGAGAAGCCCCTAATGAACTTTCATGAGAACTTCAAGAAAGACATGAAAAAGTGTGACCACCATATCGCTGACCTCCGCAAGCAGCTCACCAGCCGCTGCGCGTCGGTGGAGAAGTCCTGGAAAGCCCTCACAGAGCGGCAGAGAGACCTGGAGATGAAGACCCAGCAGCTGGAGATCAAGCTGAGCAACAAGACAGAGGAGGACATCAAGAAGGCATGGAGAAAGTCCACACAGGCTGGTGAGGACCTCATGCGTCGTGTGGACCTCTACAACCAGGCCCAGTCCAAGTGGTTTGAAGAGATGGTGACCACCACTTTGGAGCTGGAGCGGCTGGAGGTGGAGAGGGTGGAGATGATCCGGCAACATCTGTGTCAGCACACACAGCTGCGGCATGAGACAGACATGTTCAACCAAAGCACAGTCGAGCCTGTGGACCAACTGCTTCAAAAAGTGGACCCGGCCAAAGACAGAGAGCGGTGGGTCAGAGAGCACAAGACGGGCAACATTCGCCCCGTGGACATGGAGATCTAGACACGCCTGTGCGGCCCCGGGGGTCCTGCCCAGGAGAGGGGCTGGGGGTCCTGTGGAGAGGGGGAGGTGGCTCCCGGTGGGTGAAGCTGCCCTCCCACACACTCTCCTGTCCACTGAGGAGAGAGGAGAGAGCTGGCAATTCCAAAAGGGTGATCTGGATGGCTCAGCTGGGGAATCCCAAATATTCCCAGGCCAAGAAGACAGACCTGCAACCCCGCCCTTGTCTCCAAGACTGAAGCCCCCCCCCAAACCCCGTGCCGTGCTTGTTGCTCTGAGAACAAACTGAGGCTGGAACTTTGTGGTCCCTGCTGAGTTCCATAGGGGTGGACGTCACACACTTGTGCCCTTGGATGCCCCAAAGCCCATCCTCCAGCTGGTCCCTTTATCTCTGGGGCTTTGGAAGATCAGGGAAGAGCTGTCTCTGCCTCCAAGCTAATATTAAGAACAGAATCATGGATAGAAGGCGCCGTCAGCTCAGCCTGCACCTAGAATCCTTTACGGCCCTCTCTCTATTTTTCTCATTGCGTTCTGGGAGCCCAAATCTGGCTTTTCTTGGCCACTTTTCATCCCCATGGGTCTTGGGAAGGCCTGTTTTCTGTCTTCCCAGACCAACCCTGCCCAGAGAGGTGAGGATGGAACTACCTCATTCAGCAAATTAGCCCCAAGTCGGAGCATTGATTCATGGTTCCTATCAGACCAGGCATCATCTCTGAAGTCTTTGGAAATCCCAATCAATCCATTCCTCAGCTGCTTTCTCAAGGCAGTCCCCACCCCCACCCTACCACCCCTGCCCATCTCACTAGAGGGAGCTTTCCAAAGTTCTCTGCCAGGGAGATCTCCTCCTGCTGTGTGCATGTCCAAAAGCTTTGAGAGATGGAGATGAGCCAGAAACCACATGGGTCTGTCTCCCATGGTGTCCTGTCCAACACTGGGCTATCCTGACCCCGGCTCTCCCAGGCTGCCCACCAAAGGCTTAATAGGGCTAGGTCAGTCCCATATGAGAGACAGGTTAGGGCAAGTCTTTGTCAGACTCCATCTGCTTATGCAAGATAGGGTTTGGACTGCTGTCCCTTGTATGTGCATTGCAGACTCTCTTTGCTATCCAGGCATGCCCTGCCACCTGGGCCTCCAGCTCCTCTGAACTTTCCAGAGCCCTGCACAGAGCCCTCGCTTGGTGCCAGTACCTCCTTTCCCTTTGTCCATCTTCCCTAGAGAAGCCTGAGCCAAGCGTGACTCTTTTCAGCACTACCCCTGGGTTCAGCCAGCCACTTTCTTTCTCGACTACAGCAAACACCATCTACCCCATCTTAGCCTAGAGAACCAGCCTGAGGAGGCTGGGAGAAAACAATTGACCCAGTGAGCAAGGAACAGCTCCTAGCCAGAAACCCCTGCCCTGAGAGCCCACCTTTCTTCATCTTTCCCATTGATGGCTTTCGGCTTGACCCTTCCGTCTTCCATGGGGGCAGAATTCTACCAGCATAATTCATGGATCTTTCCCTCTGTTTTACATTGCTAATAATGGATGTTGATCTTGAATCTTTCAGCATCTCTTCCATTGAATTAGAATGGCTTTCTCATAGTTTATTTTAGAAAGATATTCAATATACTAAAAAAAAAAAAAAAAAGTGATGCCTTTGACTACAACTATGGTGTCTGCCTCTTAAGGATGCCAGGAAGGTTAAGTTTGGCTGCCCAATATCAGTCTCAAGGTGAGTCAAAACAGGTGGGCCTAAGAGAAAGATTAGGTGTGGGAGTATAGAAATTGTCTTTCAAAAGCGGTGTGAGAGGGCTGGGTGCAGTGGCACACACCAGTAATCCCAGCAACTTGGGAGGCTGAGGCAGGAGGATCATAAGTTAAAAGCCAGCCTCAGGGGTGGGAGGGGAAAGGGGCAGGCATGGGGTTAGAAATGATGGTGAAATGTAATGGACCTTACTATCTAAAGTACATGTGTGAAGACACATGAATATACTTTGTATACAACCAGAGATATGAAAAACTGTATTCTATATGTACTAAGAATTGTAACGCATTCCGCCGTCATATATAAATTAAAAAATTAATAAAAAAAAAAAGCCAGGCTCAGCAACTTAGTGAGACCCTATCTCAAAATTTAAAAAGGGCTGGGGCTGTGGCTCAGTGGTTAAGCACCCTTGAGTTTCATCCCTGATACAAAACAAAAACAAAACAAAATATGCAGTCTGGGAGGTAAGAGAACATATCTAGAGTTAATAAGACTGAAGAGAATTGGGAGCCAGGATATAAAAATGTGAAAGAAATGACTTTTCCTTTGAAGAGCCTACCAGTATGTTTAGTTCCCCTGAAACTTTAGGGTATGGGGAAAGTTTTAATATTTATCTAAATTCAGGGGGGAGAGATTTGGATTAAAATATATAAAGTAGCAGGATAAACTGGAGTGGTGATATCACCCAATTCTAGAGTAGGGTTTCTAACAGTACCCCAATTCTAATAATACTGCATATCTTATTCTTGGAATGTCCTCACTGAATAGGTGGATGCAAGCAAAGATGTAAAAAGATATTTTCTTTTTTGTTTTACCTCATCATTTCCCAGTAAATCCAGGGTATTTGGATGACACAGGAAGCGACACTCAATAGTAACTCCTTCTAAAACAGGTTCTGTTTTAGGGAAAACAGAGTTGAAGAGTGGAGAAGAGAAGCAGGCACCTAGAAAAGTAAATAGAAAGGGGAATGTGGCTAGTCAATGGGATAAGAAGCCATATAACATTTCTCTGGGATAGCAACAATTCTATTAAGGAGTTTTGATACTGAGTTAGGAGCACTTGTACAGCTGGATAAGAAAGTATTTTCATTCTTTTCCTCTCTTTTTGGGCAGTATCCTTACACCAGCAGCCTCAAACCACATTCCAGTCCAAGCAGGGCCAGTGGACAGAGGATGTGTCCTAACTCAATGATAAGAGTAGGTAGGGGGTCTCTAGCTCCTGAAAAAACACCAACTCTCCAGGTTCCAGAAAACAAGAAAGGGAAGTTAGCTATTTAAAAATAGGAGGAAATAAAGAAAAGCAAAATAAAGCAGAAAGGGCTAGAAAATACACTCTGCATTGACAAAACACACAATGTCCTCCTCCCACCCCTGAGGCCTTCATGCTCTACTGTCTTTTTCAGTCTCAAGAAAAGGTGCATGCCTATAATCCTAGAGCCTTGGGAGACTGAGGCAGGAAGATCATAAATTCAAGGTCAGCCTCAGCAATTTAGCCTTAAGCAACTTGGTGAGACCTTGTTTCAAAATAAAAAATAAAAAGAGGTTGGGGATGTGGCTCAGTGGTAAAGCACTCCTGGGTTCAATAAATAAATAAAATTAAAATAATAAATAAGCAGGAAGGCTGCTTATCTCCTCTCCTCTTATCTTTATAGGGCTGACTCTGAAGATCCCCTATCTAGTGACATGCAAGGAAAAAATAGACTCAGTGTCTTTTTTTTTAATATTTACTTTTTAGTTGTAGTTGGACACAATACCTTTGTTTTATTTATTTATTTTTATGTGGTGTTGAGGCTCGAACCCAGGGTCTTGCATGTGCTAGGCGAGCACTCTACCGCTGAGCCACAACCCCGCCCTCTCGGTGTCTTTTAAGACTTTGTGAGCAGACCCTTTGCGTAGCTGAGAAGAAATTCAAACAGTGAGCTGAACACAAAAACTCAAAGTTATGCTCAGGGGCTTAAAGAGCAGAAGATAGCAGGGGAGGGAAGGGTATTGGGATACCTGCTGTTGATGGAAGTACAGGAAAGTATAGGGAAACTACTGGGAGACTAGGTAAAATATCCAGTTCCTGAGCTGGGAATATAGCTCAGTGGTAGACTGCCTGCTTAGCATATGCAAGAACCTGGGGTTTGATCCCCATCACCTAAAGAAAAAGTGAAAGTCCAGTTCCTGTCTTATCTTTGTCTAGGATATGTTCCTTCCTCAGAACCTGTGGTTGATGTCCAGTGCCTAAAAAGTAAATAAATAAAAGTCCAGCTCCTATCATGTCTTTGCCTAGGATATGTTCTTTCCGCAGAATATTTCAATGCATGGCTTCCAACGTGTGTTGATACTGCCTGAACTCATAGGCAAATCTTAAAAACAAAAGAAGAAAGAAAAGGTCAGCACTGAGCTCTCTGCCCTATATACTTCTCTTCCCATCTTCCACCTTTATAGCTAAGAGTCTAAAGAAGCAAGTGTCAGGTCAGACAATTTATAACTTAATTGAATATGTGATAAGCAAAAAAGGAAGAGGGAGGAGCTGAAATTTGATGAAAGAGGACTACTGTGAGGATATGGCTGTGGGGAAACAGGAGCATTAGCTTCTATCTGTATCTGAATGGGTTTATGGTTTATGGTTTATGGTTACCAGTTGGGAAGAAATGCAAGACTAGGCAGTAAAATAGAGAAAAACCCAAGTGAAAAAGCCCTGTTGTTTCTCAATTCCCAAGGACAGACATTTCAGATGACAAATACTCTTTGCTCCTTGCTATATCTGAGACTTCCTTTCTCTGCGTCCAGAAGTCATTTGAAGACTTGGTGACCTTACATCAGCTGCAGGAGCTACCACCAAAGGGGGACTTGAACCTTCCTCTCTCAATACTCTTTCTTCAGGTTATATCTCAGAGCATGACCTGCAGAAGAATCAAACGAATGTATGCAGGAACAGGGCCATTGTCCCAAAGTGGAACCTGACAATAGCAGCTCTCCCTGTCTTTTGTTCATTCTTCCTAACCAAGTTGTTAGAGTGGAACATGTGTCCTCTTGAAGTACTATGGCAATATTCCCAAAATGCTGTCCTAGTCATGTGAGTCTGGAAAAATTTCAAACTACAGGGGTAGAGATTCTAGCAACAGGTCTATCCCAATGACTGGACACACCAAGGGACAGGCTTCATGCCTCATGCTGCCTTGTACCAGGAGCCTACCTGTGATCTCTTGGATAGCCAGTCTTGGGGTCCTATACATGACCTGACCTGGCTGGAGATGCTGTTCAGGAGTCTGGAGTCCCCCATTGACTTCTTTCATGGAAAGTAGCAGGACCCTCTATCCTACACTGCTAGTAAAAGCCTCAAGAAAAGAACTGAGCTGGGGGCTGGGGATGTGGCTCAAGTGGTAACACGCTCGCCTGGCATGCACAGGGCACCGGGTTCGATCCTCAGCACCACATAAAAATAAAATAAAGATGTTGTATCCACCGAAAATTGAAAAATAAATATTAAAAAAAAAAAAAAAAAAAAAAAAAGAAAAGAACTGAGCTGGGAAGAGGACTCCCCAATTTAGGGCTAAGGAGTCATAATTGTAGTTTCTTTTCCTTCCCTTCCTCCTTCCTTTACCCCTCTCTCTTTTTTTTTTCTATGATACTAGGGATAGAACCCAGGCACCCACATCAGGCAAGTGCTCTACCACTGAACTATACCCCTAGCCTGATTTTATAGTTTCTTGGCTTCACAAATTGGAAAGAATTGAATGATACTGGCCAAATTATATTGTTTGTACATGTACAAATATATAACAACAAATTCTATTATTATGTGCTGCTATAATGCACCAATAAAAAATTGGAAAGAACTCCTCAATTAAACAATGTGAACTGGGGCAACAGTGTTGAAGAAGCTCTTCAAGATCCATTCCACCTCATAAAATTAATAAAACTTGGAAATTAATACCTGAGGCTAATGTGTAGTAATTACAGCTGATGCTCATTTATAAAATTAACTTCCCAAGCCTAAAGAGACAGAGATCACTCCTGTTCTTAAAGACATTCAAGAACTTATTCTATTTGTATCTATTTTCCACTCCAAAGTTTCTGATTTTAAATCTCTATCTCTCAGTACATTTTGAACCAACTGCCTAATTTCTTGTAAATAAAAAAAGTGCAGCCACTTTCTATACAGACATAGAAATTTACCTTCTCCAACCTCATATGATTCTAATTCTTTTTATCGTTGTTTGCAATACTGGGGCCTCATACCTGCTGGGCAAGCACTTTGACACTGAGCTAAATCCCCAGCCCCCAATCCTTTTATCTCTTTCTTTTGTAGTCATCTGATCAACCCTTTGGTTTACTTTTCCAACTTATTCATTCAGCAAAATGAATGGCATATATGTGATAGACCATATTCTAAGAGTTGGAAGATAGAGCAATAAATAAAACAAGATTAAAATATTCCACCACATTCCCAGTAGGGGACCCTCACACACAAAAAATGATTAAGGTGGGCATGTTAGCCCATGCCTGCAATCCCAGTGACTTGAGAGGCTGAGGTAGGTGAATTTCAAGTTCAAGGTCATCCTGGGCAATTTAATGATACTGTGTCTCAATATAAATACAAAAAAGACTGGGGAATGTAACTTAGTGGTAGAGCACCACAGGGTTCAATCCCTAGTTAAAAAAAAAAAAAAAGAGTCAAAAACAGTGTAATCCACACCTGTAATCTCAGAGACTCAGGAAGCACAGGCAGAAGAATCACAAATTCAAGGCCAGTCTCAACCTCAGCAACTTAGTAAGGACCTGCCTCAAAATACAAAAGGGCTAGGGATGTAGCTCAGTGGTAAAGTACTCCTGGGTTCAATCTCTAGTCCAAAAAAAGAAAAAGATGATTGTTTAGAATGAAAAAAAAGTAAAACAGAGAAGGGCTTAGGAAGTGCTGAAGGAAAGCAATTTTAAGGAGGGTTGTTGGGAAGGCTTCACTTGGTGGTGGTAGTGGTGGGGAACTGAGCTGAGCAGACTTAGAAGACTATGATGGAGTGACCCTTCATCTGGGCGAAGATTTCCAGGAAAGTGTGAAGGTCTTAAGGGTCAGCATACCTGTAGTGCCTAATGTACAACAAAAGAGACAGTGCTGCTGAGACAGAGAAGCATGGATTTGAGTAGAAGAGGTCAAAT